CACACACATTCTCAATTTAAGCACACGTACGCAAATGACACTCAATTATGACGACGACATGGTTCGATGTCATCCTCGACACCCTGCATTTAACCTTAGACAATGGCACACATGAATCAAAATGGGGGATGTTGTTTGTTGTCATTGCCTATCAAATACATAGCGCATGATTGAGTAGACAAAGTCAGTTTGTCGAAAAAATCACAATTCATACAATTCGTCTTGTGCTGGCCTTTATTATACATCCAATGGATTTGGGGACAAGTTTTCTCATATCAACCAATTAGAATCTTTGTTATTGAATTTACGCAGTCATCTAAGGTTGAGGCAGAGTTTACAGATAGATCACCGGAAGATCTCATTCTCAATTCTAAATCATTATCGCTTACATCACGTAACTTAGATTTCATATAATTACGGATATTAACGATTGAAGTTTCAGGATGAAGTCTGGAATAAAAACTGTTTTGCGACGTGCGACAACAACAAGCTGATTAGAAGTTGATGGATCATCAACATTTACAGCAGCCGAAGGGTTTGAAGGAGCTTGCACCACAATTGCAGGTGGATTAGAAAATGCTCTTTTGGAAGTCGTACAGAGATTGAGGTTGTAGCGTTGGAAGTAACATCCCAGTCTTTACGATTATCATGAGAAAATAGTTTATTACTATTAGGTGAAGAATTTGGCGAAATCGGAGAATTTAAGCTGATTAAATTTTCGAGACCTAAATTATTTGTTTCGATATTGTTAACAACAGCTGAAGCTTTTTCCCTCTTTGGAGAACCATCAGATAATTGAAACCTGTTAAAAATATTTCAATTTTTTTGACAGACAAATTTAAACTTTTTTTAACTTATCGATTTCAGCCTTAGATAATGAACTTGAAGATCTCTACAATCAAAACAAGACCAACGTAGACCTTTAGTCTTGTCAGTAATAAAATCATACTGTCTACCATTAAAACCAGCACATTTAAGATGCATAAAATTATCGCAAATAAAACAAGAAATAAGATGCTCATTGATGTCTCTAACTGAAAAGTCTTCGAAAGAGCAAGCCATTTTTGTAAAATAACAAATTAGATAAAAATACCAGTTAATAATTTTTTATATAAAATAAAAAGGTAGACTGTGTAATGTGAACACGGTATAATAACCAATATACTATTAGTGCCTAAAAGTATGCTAAAAATCTATTATTACGTACAGAACTGTTAAAGGGGAATCAGCTACAAACGTCAAAACAAACACGACGAAAATAAAACAAAAATGTAAGTACAAAATAAAACAAAACACTGATGTTTTACGCTGAAAATATTTAATAAACTTATTAAGCAAGAAAAAACACTTTATTCACAAAAACTTCACACTTTTGGAAAAAAGATAAATAGTGTTAATTTAAATATCACAATTTAACACTTTTATTGACGCTTTAAACACACAAAAATGAATTTTAATTTCGTTAGACGAACACACAGAAAATAAACACTTTCAATCGAGCAGAGTTGCCAGAAATGTGTTTACAATCTATCAATCAGACTCACATCCTCTGCCCCACCGTGGTGATTATGTCGCTTTACCGATCGTTCATTTTGCATCTGCGCAGTTTGTAAAGTGAGTGCTGGCTAACAGATTGCGAGTCTCTAGACCAGAGTCAGTCCAGCTTCCATTGTTTCGTTCTATACATTAAAAGGTTGCAAATGTGACAAATTTCTATACTTATGCCATGGAGAGAAAACGCAGTCATGTTATGCCCTGTTTGATCAAACGCAGTACGTGACATCCAACCAAATGCTCTATGTCTCGTCATGTCGGTCAGGCTCAAACCCATGGATGTTGAATGGTGTGTCATACAAAGGCAAAGCGCAATCGCTACCTGTTTTTCCGGCATATGAAAAAAATATATTTTTTGTAATAAAGTATTTCTTGGCGAATATTAACATATTTCAGATACTTCTAATTGGTCCCCACAAAATTTTCACATTTCGTGGTTATTGACGAAACAATCCAAAATGTCAATCCTTTTTTTTTTCTTATTTTGATTATAATTTTATACAATTTTGCCTCCGGTACTGAGGTGTAAATGAAAATGAGTGCTACTTTAATTCACGTAAACAACACTATATACTTCCATAGTTTAATTCTGTGAATATTCGGTTATTGAGTGAGAGTCATATCTCTGCCCACATACTTTATTTTTTAAAGAAAACTACATGTAGGTAGAAAATAGGCAAACAATATTTACCTATTATTTTATGACCAAAAATTTATAATAGACATCAATAAATTTGGATTGTCCAGTATATTTTCCATTTTTTTATTCGTTTGATGATTTCTTTGCATATTTTGTTACTGAATGAGAGTCATCTCACTCTCATCTAATAATAATAAAAATCATTTTTCATAATTGGCTTGGTACTCAAAATTACAGCACACACAAAAAACACATCCTCGACGTCGAAAGTAACACACACACATTCTCAATTTAAGCACACGTACGCAAATGACACTCAATTATGACGACGACATGGTTCGATGTCATCCTCGACACCCTGCATTTAACCTTAGACAATGGCACACATGAATCAAAATGGGGGATGTTGTTTGTTGTCATTGCCTATCAAATACATAGCGCATGATTGAGTAGACAAAGTCAGTTTGTCGAAAAAATCACAATTCATACAATTCGTCTTGTGCTGGCCTTTATTATACATCCAATGGATTTGGGGACAAGTTTTCTCATATCAACCAATTAGAATCTTTGTTATTGAATTTACGCAGTCATCTAAGGTTGAGGCAGAGTTTACAGATAGATCACCGGAAGATCTCATTCTCAATTCTGTACACTCCGCAAATTTGTCCCATAAGCCTTTCTTGGTTTTCTATGAGGTTTGTAAAGTCCCTCTACTGAAATTTGGTGTATTATCCTCCGTTTATCAGAGAAGGAGCATTCGGTGGAAACCTTCCAATTCAGTATGAGCGATTCATCTGTGTTTGTAAGGGTGAGATCAATGACCTCCTCCATATTTTTAATTTGAAAATTAGCCTCATTACCCCTGTTACATATTCTGAGATTATGTTTAAGAAATTATTAAGGGAGATTAAGCTCAAACTCTTTTTAGCCACGATACACGTTCTAACCTTTCGGAGGTAAAAAAGTAGTAAACCGTTCACTCCCCAGCCCAGTCAACTTATTTTTATACATATAGGGCTCCTGGACCAGAGTGAGAGTGACTCAGTCAAGCCTTAAAAAACACTTCCGTCGATGCATGCTGCAGCATGGCGGAAATAAAGCCGTCCGGTCCCGGTGACTTGAAAGGTTTAAGGAGTTTATGGCCCGCAGGATTTTTTTATCGTTCGTTCCCACGCTTCTCACACCCGCCCCTGCCGACCGAGGGGGCCACATCCCTATACGTAGAGAGCGCGTACACACCAAAGTCTGGACTAAGGCGGGTTAGCAACGGTTGCACACCGGCTACAAAAACTAAATCAGCCAGTGAATAAAATAATAAAAATAAAAGACACACACAGATTAATAGACAAAGGTTAACAAGGTACAGATTTTTAAAATCTCTACTCATTGGCGTCTACTGTACCGCAAAGGGAATTGTAGATCAAGTGCCAGATGATCAAGCAGCTTAGTAATTTATAACAGAATTTCAATCTACTGTTTACAACTATTACTCAAAGGCGAGTTCTACTAATTCCGCTTGGGGAGATGTAGATAAGATGCCGTAAAATGAGTTTGGAGAATTAAGAACAAAGACATGAAACAATTAACGAGTACTCATTAAACAAACATAAAATTACATATGTAGAATATAGTTCTTTATTGTATTTAATGGATTACTTAAGCAAATAATGTTAAATAAACTGTTAGATACACCAGATGAAACAATGATATTCTTCGAAGAGACATCTTTAAAAAACTTTTTGTGTACGATTATGTAAAAGTTGAGGAATGGCGCGATACACCTATAATTATTGACGGCACTCCTATTTCCTGATTTATGCAGTGGATTAACAAAGCTCGATAGCCAATAGCATGGGAAATATCTTTTAGATAGGGAGAAATTAAAAATTTTAGTGAGAGGTACAGAAATTTCAGTAGCGCAAGGTTTTAAAATGTACGTTGGAACGCCGTTAGGGCCTGGAGAGAATGAGGAGCGTAGTGTTCTTAACCCATAGAAAACTTCGTCATCTGTCAGGATAATACGGGGAAAATGATTTAATTTCTCAATATTATAGCTGTAAGAACTATTAAAAGTATTATGGGTATAAGATGATTGAAAAAACTCAGCAAATAAATTAGAAATCACTAAGTTGTCAGAAGATTCACTACTGCCAAGTTTCATACTACTGGGAAATTTATGTGCCTTCCTTTTAAAATTTACAAATTAAAAAAAAGTTTTTGGGTTTATGTAGCAGGTTTTGTTTCATTTTTATTAAATATTGGGAATAACATTTGCAGTTTTCAGAGTTATATATACTCCTTGCGGAAGAATACTTTGAATAGTTCAGTGCAGTATTCGACATTTTAAATTTTTTGAATAATCTGCTTTTCAAATTACGTAAACTTTTCAGTGAAGGGGTAAACCAAGAAGGACCCTGATCTAAATTTTGTTATACTATAGGTACATAACTAGATAATGCAAAATTAAGTTGCTCATAAAGTTTTGAGACACATAAGTCAATGTCATCACTAAGATGCCATATAGTGTTAGATTAAATAGAGCGCAGTTTGTTTTCCCAATGTTACGCCTATCAATAGAAGCATTAACACAATTAGAATTCAGGGAAGAGTTTCTTAATTCGAGGTTTATCGAAAGCGTAGGGTGATAACTGTCTTCAGGGAGTACATAGGGAGAGCATCTAGAAATCGAAATATTCAATGAAGACTAAACAATTAAGTCTAACAACCTGTCTTTAACATTTAACACATGGTTTACTTGGTACAGACAAAGCTTAAAAATCTTATCCCAAAAGTTATCGAAACCTGTTGGGTAAGTCAGAGGTATGTAATCTAGAATATTGTCACCTGAGGTCCAAGATACCCAAGGAAGGTTAAAATCCCCTAAACAAATTAATGCAGAATTATCTGTAAGCAACGAAGACACCTCTGCAAATAAATCTGCATGGTTAAGAAAAATTTCAAGTTCAGAATTAGGTGAAATATATGAACAAGTTAAGAAAATAGTATTACCAATGATATTTAATTTTACGCAGATAAATTCGATATTAGGATCCGCTGAGACATCAATCATTTCAGAAGGAATCGAGATATGAACTGCTATTAGAAATCCACTAGCTTTTTTCGATAATCTATCTTTTCTGTAGACTTGGTAATTACCAGAGAATAACTCAGTGTCCAGGACATCAGGTTTTAACCACGTTTCAGTGAAATCAATTATTTTATATTCACAAAAGAAACTTTTAAGGAAAACATCTCTAAGCTTAGTGTTTAATCCTCTTACATTTTGACAAAGAATCGGACAGACGTCATTTAGTTTTTTTGGCGCATTCACGATGTTTACAGACTTATCTACATTGGAGCGTTCTCTACAAACAAATTCTTTTACCAATATATCATTGAGCCAAAACGAATTACTAACAAAAGTGTTAAACAGACTATTAGGAACTGTTATTTTAAACGACGAAATGTCGCGCACCTGAAACAAGTTAAATTTAAAGATGTTTAAATCATGTTTAAATTAACGATAGAAGTTTCAGGATGAAGTCTGGATATAAAAACTGTTTGCGACGTGCGAAGACTGCACCACAATTGCAGGTGGGTTAGAAAATGCTCTTTTGGAAGTCGTTCAGAGATTGAGGTTGTAGCGTTGGAAGTAACATCCCAGTCTTTACGATTATCATGAGAAAATAGTTTATTACTATTAGGAGGAGAATTTGGCGAAATCGGATAATTTAAGCTGATTAAATTTTCGAGACCTAAATTGTTTGTTTCGATATTGTTAACAACAGCTGAAGCTTTTTTCCTCTTTGGAGAACCATCAGATAATTCAAACCTGTTAAAAAATTTTTCAATTTTTTTAAAAGTTAAATTAAAACTTTTATTTAACTTATCGATTTCAGCCTTAGTTTCTTTAAAAAGGCAATGATAATCAACTTGAAGATCTCTACAATCAAAACAAGACCAACGTAGACCTTTAGTCTTGTCAGTAATAAAATCATACTGTCTACCATTAAAACCAGAACATTTAAGATGCATAAAATTATCGCAAATAAAACAAGAAATAAGACGCTCATTGATGTTTCTAACTGAAAAGTCTTTGAAAGAGCAAACCATATTTGTAAAATAACAAATTAGATAAAAATACCAGTTAATAATTTTTTATATAAAATAAAAAGGTAAACTCTGTAATGTGAACACGGTATAATAATCAATATATTATTAGTGCCTAAAAGTATGCTAAAAATCTATTATTACATACAGAACTGCTAAAGGGGAATCAGCTACAAACGTCAAAACAAACAAAAACACGATGAAAATAAAACAAAAATTTAAGCACAAAATAAAACAAAACACTGATGTTTTACGCGGAAAATATTTAATAAACTTATTAAGCAAGAAGAAACACTTTATTCACAAAAACTTCACACTTTTGGAAAAAAATAAATAGTGTTAATTTAAATATCACAATTTAACACTTTTATTGACGCTTTAAACAAACAAAAATTAATTTTAATTTCGTTAGACGAACACACAGAAAATAAACACTTTCAATCGAGCAGAGTTGCCAGAAATGTGTCTACAATCCTATCAATCAGACTCACATCCTCTGCCCCACAGTGCTGATTATGTCGCTTTACCGATCGTTCATTTTTGCATCTGCGCAGTTTGTAAAGTGAGTGCTGGCTAACATAGTGCGAGTCAGTCCAGCTTCCATCGTTTCGTTTTATACAATAAAATGTTTTATACTTGTTATGCCCATACATAATATATAATAATTTCATACATAATTTCAATCTACTGTTTACAACTATTACTCAAAGGCGAGTTCTACTTGTTCCGCTTGGGGAGATGCTGTAAAATGAGTTTGGAGAATAAAGAACAAAAACATGAAACAATTAACGAATACTCATTAAACAAACATAAAATTACATATGTAGAATATAGTTCTTTATTGTATTTAATGGATTACTTAAGCAAATAGTGTTAAATAAACTGTTATAAATAACACAAAGTGACCTCATGGGGTTGTTAAGCTCATAGTTAGTTCTCGCAAACGACACTTTTTAGGGGTTCGAAATTACGAGTTCTGCGAGAAGGAACATTATGGTATATTTCATTTCATAAGAAATGGAGAATCAATGTTACCGCGTACTAGTTTAATGATAAATAGTGCTCTTAACATAAAACGTCTTATTTCAAGTGATGGAAGGTCAATTAATTATCGACTCTCATAAGGAGGAAGAAGTTCGGAAACGTTCCAGTTTAAACCACGTAAAGCGAAAATTAAGAACTGAATTTGTACTGATTCAATTTTATCAGGTAAAATTTATAAAATGGACTCCACAATACACAGCCATATTCTAATACTGGACGCACCAAGCTAACAAATAATCTTTTAGTTACGTAAGGATCATCAAACTCTTTAGACCAGCGCTTGATGAATCCTAGTAAAAATTACGCTTTGTTAACGCAAGAATCAATATGCAAATGAAAACGAAGCTTAGTATCTAATATTACGCACAAATCAACGAAAGAATCAACATTATCCAATTTGTGGGAGCCAATAAAGTAATTAGATAATAAAGGTTGGGATTGAAAGAAAGACAACTTTTTGCATTTTGTTAGATTAAGGGTCATACCATTTGCACTACACCAGTTTACGAGTGAGTATAAATCATATTGTGAAGAGATTTGATCGCTAAAGCGGCAAATAGACCACACAAATTATTTGCGCAAATTCACACTTATTTAGCACACACACGTTTGCACAAATTTCATTCGAAGTAAGTACTCAGCGAGTGAAGTCATTCGAAAAAAATGTTTGAGAACGCAGCTATTGCCGTCGCTTTGGCACTCGCCATAAAAAAGAAGCGCGAAGAAGAAAAAAAATTAAACACAAACGCTTGTGGGCAAAAGAGTGGCTAAGGAAACGGCCAATTTTTACTCATGAAAATCTTTTGGATGAATTGAGAAACTCATCCACAGACGATTTTAGAAATTTTCTTAGGATGGATGAACAATGTTTTGATGATTTGTTGGGACTGGTGACTCCTTTCATAAAAAAACAGGACACTATTATGAGGGACGCTATTCCGCCTAGCCAACGTTTATCAATCACCCTCCGTTATTTGGCAACTGGAAACTCTTTCGAGGACCTAAAATTTGTCAGTGCAATTTCACCGCAAGCCATTGGACACATCGTGATGGAAACATGCGAGACAATTATTAATTGCTTAAAAAATTGGTTTCAGGTAAATTTTTGTTTTTTATTTTAAAATTCAAGTTAACATTTTTATAAAACGTAAAAAATTACATACAGTGTAGTAAAAAAAAATAATTCTATTTAAAGCTTTAAAAATAAATTAAATAAGTTAAATATTAAGACTCCGAAAAGTTCATGAAGTATGCCGCAGCTGTTTCTTGGTTGTTGTCTTCTATACCACCCATATGCTGCGCCTGACTTTTTTGTACCGGCAAATACACGAATCGCTTCCCGGATGATTGTACGGAGTTACCAATCCCTGACCGCTGCGACGAGGGGATATTTTCCTTTTCGGCGGACGTAAAAGTAAAATGTGTTTCGTTGTCGGCAATAATCGGACTGAACTGTGAGTATGGCGTTGACGCGCGGCTTCTTCTCAAAAATATGGAGTCTTCGTGGAGAGGCCCCAACTGACCTGGCGTTGACGCACGACTTCGTCCCATATTTAAGAATTCTTCGTGGAGATGCCCCATTTGACCCTCGTACAGAATGTCGTTAATAAAACGATCAGCAAAGAGTTGCTGCTCTGGGGTCATTTTTCTCAATTTTGCCGCGTACACCTCAGCCATTTTTGCTTGGTCATCCGAAGGTGGGGACGCAATATCAATCAGAGCGTCGCAAGAATCTTGTGGCTTTTTCTTTTTAGGAACTTTATCTTTCTGTAATAAAATAAAATATATTGTATATAGTTTGTACTAATTTAAATTAAGTTAAAATTATATATTTTATAAATAAATATTTTTTTTAATCCCACAGCTTCCTACAACACCAGCCGAATGGGAGAGGATCGCAGAAGAATTTTCCCATAAATGGAATTTTCCACATTGCATAGGAGCAATTGATGGAAAACACGTCGTCATTAAAAAAACCCCAAAGTCTGGTTCAGCTTTTTATAATTATAAGAAATTCTTCAGCATCGTTTTGTTGGGTGTCGTCAATGCCAACTACGAGTTCATAATGGTAGACGTTGGAACAAATGGTCGATATTCTGACGGAGGTGTTTTCAGCAACAGCAGTTTTGGTGAAGCGTTTGTGAGCAAGAACCTTAAATTGCCAGAACCAAAACCTGTTCCTATGAGTGAAAAGGTGCTACCCTATGTGTTCATTGCAGATGACGCATTCTCGCTGACAGAGAATATGATGAAACCATTTTCCCAAATTGGCTTAAGCTCGGAGAAAAGAATTTTTAATTACCGTTTAAGCAGAGCTCGTAGAGTTGTGGAAAATGTGTTTGGGATTCTGGTTTCTCGATTTGGAGTTCTGCAACGAGCGATTCAACTGTCACCAGAAAAGACGGAAACAGTAGTGTTGGCCTGCTGTTATTTACATAAATTTTTGCGAAGGCAATGCGGGGATAAGTACATTTCTGGGTTACTGGAAACAGAGAACACAGAAACGGGGAGTATAAATCACGGTTCATGGAGAACCAGAGAAACATTTTCTTCATCACTGCCAAATTCACATTCCCGAAATGCAAGCAACAATGCTAAAACAATTAGGGAAGAATTCCGCGACTATTTCAATCACGAGAATATTGTACCTTGGCAAAATAAGTTTGTAAATTAATAGATTTTATGTTCCACATTTTTTTAAAAATAAATATAACACCCAAAAATTCCAATTTAATTACTTTTTATTTTTTTTTTTTCTGAATAAACACATAAAACACATAAATTCAAATTGTTTACTTACTTCTCCTAGCGGAATTGGAGTAGCCATTGTCGTCCGTGATTCCCTTAGTTTGTCCATGTCACTCCGGAAATTCAGTGCATCGGCATAAAACAAACTGGGCACGCTTTCCTCATCGTAGCCAACACCACTCCTCTCCAAATCGCTGACCTTCTTGCGGTAGTTGCGATAAGCAGTACGCAAAGAATTATTTTTTTTTTACTACCGCCGCTTTGTCACAATCTGGGTAGAATTCCTTATACTTTGACAATAAAGTGGAATATTGGGAATTCTTTATGTCTCTGTTTGCATATTCCTTCGACCTTATGTCCCACAGAGCAGGCAAAGATCGGTAAACTTCAATAAAACTTCAAATTCTGTTCTTCTTCTCTTTCCATTTTTAAAAAATAACAGCAAAAAACAAACAAACAAAACTACGGCGGCAAGTCAAAAATTAATTTCTATTCTTCTTCCTCTTTTGTTGTGTAATGCTTGATTGTTTATCAGGAACTGAACAGATTTAGTGCAAACGCCCACACACCACACAAACAAGCCGAAAATCTAAATGGTTTTGATTTTTCAGATCGATTTGCACAAACTCGTACGTGTGACACATACAACCTTATTTCACTAACACACATAAGCGATTTGCACAAAAATTTGTGTGGTCTATGGGTCGCTTAAGTGAATTTGTGTGAAGAAAGAGCTTCACATCATCAGCGTTCATTAAAATTTTGGAAAAACGAACTACGTTTTGAAGGTCATTTAGGTAAAGAACTAACAGTAATGGGGCCAAGTGACTTCCCTGGGGTACACCAGATGAAACAATGATATTCTTCGAAGAGACATCATTATTTTTATTTTTAGATTTTAAAATGTACGTTGGAACGCCGTCAGGGCCTGGAGAGAATGAGGAGCGTAGTGTTCTTAACCCATAGAAAACTTCGTCATCTGTCAGGATAATACGGGGAAAATGATTTAATTTCTCAATATTATAGCTGTAAGAACTATTAATAGTGTTCTGGGTATAATATGATTGAAAAAACTCAGCAAATAAATTAGAAATCACTAAGTTGTCAGAAGATTCACTACTGCCAAGTTTCATACTACTGGGAAATTTATGTGCCTTCCTTTTAGAATTTACAAATTAAAAAAAAAGTTTTTGTTTTTTTTATGTAGCAGGTTTTGTTTCATTTTTATTAAATATTGGGAATAACATTTGCAGTTTTCAGAGTTATATATACTCCTTGCGGAAGAATACTTTGAATAGTTCAGTGCAGTATTCGACATTTTAAATTTTTTGAATAATCTGCTTTTCAAATTACGTAAGCGTCTCAGTGAAGGGGTAAACCAAGCAGGACCCTGATCTAAATTTTGTTTTACTATAGGTACAGAACTAGATAATGCAAAATTAAGTTGCTCATAAAATTTTGAGACACATAGTCAATGTCATCACTAAGATGCCATATAGTGTTAGATAAAATAGAGCGCAGTTTAATAAGGTTTGTTTTACCAAAGTTACGCCTATCAATAGAAGCATTAACAGAATTGGAATTCAGGGAAGAGTTTCTTAATTCGAGGTTTATCGAAAGCGAAGGGTGATAACTGTATTCAGGGAGTACATAGGGAGAGAATCTAGAAATCGAAATATTCAATGAAGACTAAAACATTAAGCCTAACAACCTGTCCTTTACATTTAATCCATGGTTTACTTGGTACAGACAAAGCTTAAATATCTTATCCCAAAAGTTTTCAAAACCTTTTGGGTAAGTCAGACGTATGTAATATAGAAAATTGTCAGCTGAGGTCCAAGATACCCAAGGAAGGTTAAAATCCCCTAAACAAATTAATGCAGAATTATCTGTAAGCAACGAAGACACCTTTGCAAATAAATCTGCATGGGTAAGAAAAAATCTGCATGGGTAAGAAAATTAGGTGAAATATATGAACAAGTTAAGAAAATAGTATTACCAATGATATTTAATTTTGCGCAGATAAATTCAATTTATGATCGACCTAAATAAATTGGGATTGTCCAGTATATTTTCCATTTTTTTATTCGTTTGTTGATTTCTTTGCATATTTTGTTACTGAATGAGAGTCATCTCACTCTCATCTAATAATAATAAAAATCATTTTTCATAATTGTTTTGGTACTCAAAATTACAGCACACATAAAAAACACATCATCAACGTTGAAAGTAACACGCACATTCTCAATTTAAGCACACGTACGCAAATGACACACAATTATGACGACGACATGGTTCGATGTCATCGTCGACACCCTGCATTTATGGAGAAAACCATGTAAATATTCGAGTCAGCCATGCCACGATCGAACCTTAGACAATGGCACACATTAATCAAAATGGTGGATGTTGTTGGTTGTCATTGCATATCAAATACATAGCACATGATTGAGTAGACAAAGTCAGTGTGTCGCAAAAAGCATAATTCATACAATTCGCCTTGTGCTGGCCTTTATTATACATCCAATGGATTTGGGGACAAGTTTTCTCATATCAACCAATTAGAATCTTTGTTATTGAATTTACGGAGTCATCTAAGGTTGAGGCAGAGTTTACAGATAGATCACCTGAAGATCTCATCCTCAATTCTGTATGCTCCGCAAATTTGTCCCATAAGATTTTCTTGGATTTTTATGAGGTTTGTGAAGTCCCTCTACTGAAATTTGGTTTATTATCCTCCGTTTATCCGAGAAGAAGCATTCGGTGGAAACCTTCGGTAGAAAAGTGTTGGGCGCTGGGATCGCATCCAACGACGAGATTGCCCTTGCTTCCCAGCTCCGTGAACAGCTTTTCTACTACCTGTCCTGACGGATCGAGGTGTTCAAATGGTAGATAAAGGGAGACAAAAATGAAGGTTTTTCCAGATTTGGTCTACAGTCTATTCGCCGTGGCGTCTCCTCCGCTGAAATTATTAAGGAAGATTAAGTTTAAAATCTTTAGCCACGATACACGTTCTAAACTTTTCTCTGTAAAAAGTAAAAAAGTAGTAAACCGTTCACTCCCCAGCCCAGTCACCCTATTTTTATACATATAGGGCTCCTAGACCACTGGACCAGGGCTAAGTCAACTTCAGCCTTAATGAGAGATGGGAGAAATTCATCCGTGGTTGCTTTACAGTGGTGCAGATTAATCTGCATTATACTGAGCAGATGCTGCTTCCTTCCTTCTACTGCAGCGGCGTTAGACGGAAAGGAATCCATCATGTGCCGAAGTGCAGGTTCATCCCACACGCCTGAAAGTATTCCTGCCAGCAGTATCAATAGATACCTTTATAGCCAGGCCTCCAGGCCAGCTACTTCGGTTACAAGGAAGTTTTTAGATTCCTCGTTTTCGCAGCAAATGACCTTCACTCCTCTTACTATCTTCCCCTAGGAAAACTAGCTCCCTTTGACGGTTCTAAATGTGTATCCACCGACTATTACAGATTTTGCCTTTGGGCTCAGTACGATCGTTGATTGCCACACAGAGGTTGTCCGGGTAGACAGTTTGGGAAATTTTTCTTTTTCTTCTACTCTGGCTCAAAGGTTGGATTTTGGTGGATGCAGTTGTCGCTTTAGTAGACTTAGGATACACCGAAGCTGTCTGAGCTACACCCACCACTACCTTCTTGCCGACGACGGAGGTATACAACGTAGCTTGTGGAGGAGTTGGGGTTCCCTTTGAAGGTTTCTTAACCTCATGTTGTATTTCCTCCGTTAATCATCCAGTCTTAATCGTTGGACGAGATAAGAGATTGCGACTCCTTCTTGTTCCACCTTATTTGATCTCTGCCTCCTGCGCTTCTTTGTTTTTGGCTCGGTGGAAACAGCTTGGGTTTCTGTTGGTGGTGCAACAGCTGTTGCTGCAAGGTCGGTTAGGAGAGAGGCAAACTCCTCATGGGAACATTTTGGCAATAGAGGATAATTCTTTCCCCTTCTTGCTTTTCCCTCCTTTGAGCTGGTGTCATCGCTTTTTTAGGTTTGTTGGTGGGTGGAGTACCCTCCATACCCCCTCTTTCAATCATATAAAGGTCCGTCTCTATGTAGTAACGCCTGATGACTTTGATTGCAAATCAAACACCGAAGACGACCTTTACAACCTTTTAACTCATGTTCCTTGCGCAAGCAGTTTACACAAACGATGACGCTTCACCATAGAAAATCTTGCCGAAAGGGCCACATTTCTTAATTGAGGACAATTGAAAAGAGGATGGCTATGTGAGGGACAAAAATGCAACAATATTTGTATGACTGCCGAGGAGATACCGAACAAGAACGATATCGTGAAACAAGCGAGATAACGAATTCTCTCCGTATTTTTGACATTTTGCTCCCACAATGTCAGTGCAGTTTTTGGCAAACGTTGGAAACAAACATTTTTTCTAGATTAGAGCTTTTTAAGCTTTGATTCCTCAATGCGCCCTATAACTTTTAGCAAATTTCTACATTTGGAATTGAAAGTTTGAAGTGAACTTTGCGACAAAGAACGGAAATATTCCAAAAATGAATTTGAAAGAATCGACCAATTTGTCCAGCAAGTTAAGGAAAATCTATTACAGTAATTTACTTTATTCAAAAAATACAAAAAGGAAAATTAATTAAAATTTCCACAAAAAATATCGATTAAAATGTTCAATATTAGAATAACAATTGATTTAAAGCAAATTATTTTCGTCCATTTAACTAGCACTTAATGTGACGAATACAGGGTGCACGCAACTAAAATTGTCAAAAAATACTTTTCAGAATACATATACACATTTATATATACAATCCACAAAAAAATTCTACTTTGTTAATAAAAACGTTGTTAGTAAAACTGGGATTCAGTTCAAACACATTAATTTGAACTGAGACTTATAGTCCTTAAATATCTTTTGCAAGCACATAAACTTGAAGGAATGACGATTTTTAGAAATTAAACACAAATTGGTTCTGGTCATTATTTTATACAAATAATTTCTTATACAAAAGTGAAGAAATGAAATTGTCAAATACTGCAAATAGTCAATGAACCTAAATAAAATATATGTCACATCAACGATAAAATAATTTACAGTTACGTTAATAAATGAGTTACATAAAAATCCTGAAATAACAATTTGAACAACTAGAATAAAACTGTAAGTATGCCACAACTAAAATACAACTTAAATATAAATATGTATGTTGAACATTTATGTAAATACGTATGTTTTAACATTCTCCGCCGCGTTGACAGTGTTCAAGTTGTAAATGTAGCAGAAACGGAGCCATTTCTTGCTTATTGGTGAGTTCTTACAGCTGGAGTAGGTGTAAATTGAGCTGGTTTGTTTAACCTTGAATGCATTCTCCAACTCAGCAGACCAAACAGAATAATAATTCAGCAACATAATGAGGTGTAGCTAACTGCATGATGGCGAAGACTTGTGGAGTGGATAAGTTGTGGCAAATGCTTAAGAGTTGATTCATTCAACTGCCGTTGTGTGTTATCCAATCCCTTCAGATGAACCCTGTAAGAAGTAATGTTCGTGCGCATTAAAATCTTTTCTATTTCCTGTGGTGGACTTATAGAATGGACATCTTTTATGGCATGGTTGGAACCCATCTCCATTAATCCGGCAGTCTTGATGATGATAAGATTTGTCTTCGTACCACGCACAATAGATGATTCAACATCGACAGTAGTAGCGAAAATCCATCAAACTGTAGATCCAATAATCTTGTTGAGGATGCAATTGGCAGTTGAATGATTATTAATTGTATTGATTCCACAGGGGTTCGCGACTGCGTTCCTCCGGAGTTTGGACCACTGATTTTTACAGATATATTCGTCAT